CATGGCACCCCAGACCATCACTGACTGTGGGTACTTGATACTGGACTTCAGGCATTTTGGCATTTCCCTCTCCCCAGTCTTCCTCCAGACTCTGGCACCTTGATTTCCGAATGACATACAAAAGTTGCTTTCATCCGAAAAAAGTACTTTGGACCACTGAGCAACAGTCCAGTGCTGCTTCTCTGTAGCCCAGGTCAGAAGCTTCTGCCACTGTTTCTGGTTCAAAAGTGGCTTGACCTGGGGAATGCGGCACCTGTAGCCCATTTCTGGCACACGCCTGTACACGGTGGCTCTGGATGTTTCTACTCCAGACTCAGTCCACTGCTTCCGCAGGTCCCCCAAGGTCTGGAATCGGTCCTTCTCCACAATCTTCGTCAGGGTCCGGTCACCTCTTCTTGTTGTGCAGCTTTTTCTTAAAACAATGAAAGGCTTGAACTACTTCAAGTATGTGTAATGAATCTAAAATATATGAAAGTCTAATGTTTATCAGTACATTGCAGAAAATAATGAACTTTATCACAATATGCTAATTTTTTGAGAAGGACCTGTATATGAAACACTCATGAGGTAGCTACTCTGATATGAACTGTTTGACAGTTTAGCAGCAGTAATGGCAAAGGATCACATACACTTATTATTCATTTTATTGTTAAGTTAAGTTACTGTGTTGTGTTGTACATAGTGCCAATGTGGGACAGTTTTCCCATTTCATTGTGGTATTGTACTATGTATGAGTGTGCAATGACAATAAAGAGGTATATCTTATCTGTCTCCTGTTTACAACTCAAAAACGTGAAATACCACAAAAGCTGCATTCACAGAATACTTTAATATAAGAGGTTTAAATCTCTTAGTGCTATGTACTCTCTGTCACCATCTATGGAAGTAATTCTATGGAATTAATGAACCCGTGGAAACGAAACTTGACTTAAGTGAGGATAAGCTGTTTATTCAAAAACTGGTGACCAATACAAAGCAAAAGGCAAGAGGAAACTAAGGCTAAACTAACTGGACTAAACTCTGGAATATCATGACATGACAACATGAACCCTGGATATGAACCACTTAAACACGATTACCTGAACATGACTGTGACAAAGTGGGTGAGAAGACCATTTGTCTATATTCTTAGTTAACATTCTAGTTTTGATTCAACCATATTTCACATGTAATCTGCAATAGGCAAACATCTACTATCCC